GTAATCCTGCTCAGTAGGAGAGGAACCGCAGGTTCAGACATTTGGCGCGTGCGCTTGGCTGAGGAGCCAACGGTGCGACGCTACCATCTGAGGGATTATGACTGAACGCCTCTAAGTCCGAATCCCCCCTAGACGCGACGATACTGTTGCGCCCGGATCTTCGGTTGGCCTATCATAGCCGGGTGGACTCCTGCTCGGTGCGGAATCTTATTCCGACGCTGCTGAAACAGCAGCGAGATACCGGTGGGGACTCGGCTGACTTTGTTAGGTGAGCCGCCTAGGTCGGTCGGTGTCTGACAAAGTGACATTTTTTAAACCTGCAATTCCTATGCTATTTTAATGTACGCGTCTGTCGGGGGGTAGCAACGCAAAACAGCGTTTTGCCAGCCCGAGGGAATTCGATGCGAGAGAAACGAGGCCCCGTTACGCACAAGAGAGCAATCCCCGCCAATTTCTCCCATTTGATGGGGTCTATCAGTAAAAACTTTTTTTTACTTTTTTTATTACTTCTTTTTTACTTACTTTTTTTAATTACTTTTTTGAATTACTTTTTTTTACTTTCTTTTTTTTTACTTTTTTTTACTTTTTTTACTTTCATTTTTTACTTACTTTTTTAATTATTTTTTTTACACTTTTTTTTTTAGTGCACGTGCAAATCTGCTGGAAAAGCCTGCGGAAGTCTCGTGGCGTTCGTACGCTATTTGGCAACACTGAAATGAGCGTTTTGCCAGCCCGAGGGAATTCGGTGCGAGAGAAACGATGCCCCGTGACACACAAGAGAGCAATCCTCGCCAATTTCTCCCATTTGATGGGGGTCTATCTGTAAAAAATTTGACCTTTTTTTTAGTACACGTGTAAATCTGCTGGAAAAGCCTGCGGAAGTTTCATCCGACGAAAAAAGCACGTTCTCGAGAAAGCAGGGGAGCTAAGTCATTCACAAATTAGCTGGATTTGGCTTGTGGTTCGTTTCACAAGTAACAGAGCGGCATCAACCTTTAAGCGCACGCCAATACATCCCCGTGGGATACGGGGGGGGGGGGGGGAAACGTCGAATTGTGCCGCCTGGCCATGCTGTTCATGGGTCTCTACTTTTTAAGTTTCGCCTGCCAATTTATTTTCTCTAGCGGTTTTATACACTAACACTCGATGTTTTGGGAAATGAATAGAATTGTTCAAAAAACGTCTTCGCAATTCATGTCGTTAGATTGCTCTTGAAAATTCGTAGTTTATTGAGTGTAAATTTATACCAGACAAATACTTTAAATGCATGTTTTTAAATGTGGAGGGAAAAACCGGAGGACCTGCAGTAAAATCCATGCGACCACGGCGAGAGAGACATGCAAACTCCAATATACAGGCATCAGGGTCTGGATCGAACCCACAGCCTCTTGTATACTAGGCGAGGTATTTAACATCTTGTCAACATCTCGATTATCGTAACCATCATCATACTCTTTAGATCTTTCGGTAAAGTCACGTAGGTATAAAATATAATAAATCACGATGTTTCGGGCGCAACACAAGCGTCCATCATCAGGTGGGAAAGCACGGTCTGCTGCTGAGGCAGACTGTTGTAAAAGGTTTGCAATGGGTGTAGCCCAAGGGTCATAAAGAAGTGGTCGGGGCTAGTGATGTTAATGTGAAAAATTAGCATGTAACTGTAAGATAGGAGAGCGGCCTCCTCGACGAGGGCACGAAATTGATTTTTCCAAGACGGAGGTACTCTGCAAACCTAGCGGCTACCTTCAGAGATTTGTTTATGAAGCATCCAGATATATAAACACAGACACACCTTCAACCGAGAGGATGGGTACAATCTGAGCAATCATTGGAAGGACGTTATTAACGAGGTAAAGTCTTAACTGACTGTGATGTTTCCATGTCAGCTGTTATTTCCAGCCCCCTCATACCGCCCCTGCCCCCCCCCCCGCTCCCCCCACCATCGTGACCCCCCGCCCCCCCCCTCGCGACCACCTTTGCCCCCCATTGCTCCCCCATAATCCCCCATGCCCCCTACCCCCCCTCGTGACCCCCCTTGCCCCCCTGCCCCTCCCCCTCACAACCCCCCATGTCCCTTTCTCACGACTCCCTCCCCACGCCCCCCCAGCCCCCCCTCGTGACTCCCGCCATGCCCCCCCTCGCGACCCCCCCATTCCCACTCCTGCCCCCCTCGTGACCCCCCATGACCCCCGCGCGCCCCCTCGCAACCCCCCATGCCCCTCCTCACGACCCCCCTCATGCCCCCCCTGCCCCTTCCCTTCCTGACCCCCCATGCCCCCCCACCCTCCCCCTCGCGGTCCCCCTCATGCCCCTCCTGCCACTCCTGCGCCCTCCCTCGTGACGCCCCATGCCGCCCCGCCACCCCCTCACGACCCCCCTTGCCCCCCCATGCTCCCCCTCAACCCGCAATGCCCCCCTACCCTCCCCCACGCGACCCCCCCTGCCCCCTGCCCCTTCCCCCTCACAACTCCGACCATGCCTCCCCATGCCCCTCCCTCACGACTCCCTCCCCATGCCCCCCAGCCCCCCCCCCTCGTGACTCCCACCATGCCCCCCCTCGCGACCCCCCCATGCCCCCCTACCCTCCCCCTCGCGACCCCCTTGCCCCCCCCCCCTGGTGACTAACACCATGCCCAGCCTCGTGACCCACCCCATGCCCCCCCCTGCCCCTCCCCTTCGTGACCCCCCTTTGCCCCCCGCCCTCCCCCTCGTGGCCCCCTCATGCCCCCTGTGCCCCCCCTTGCCCCCCCCCCTGGTGACTAACACCATGCCCAGGCTCGTGACCCACCCCATGCCCCCCCCTGCCCCTCCCCTTCGTGACCCCCCTTTGCCCCCCGCCCTCCCCCTCATGGCCCCCTCATGCCCCCTGTGCCCCCCCTTGCCCCCCCTCAAACCCCATGACCCCTACCCTCCCCCTCGCGACCCCCTTGCCCCCCCCCCTGGTGACTAACACCATGCCCAGCCTCGTGACCCACCCCATGCCCGCTCCTGCCCCCCTCGTGACCCCCCATGCCCCCCACTCGCGACTCCCACCATGCCCCCGCCCTCCCCACCATCGTGACCCCCCTTTTGCCCCCCATGCCTCCCCCCCCTGTCCCGCCGTCGCGACCCCACCCCCCTTTCCCCCCCTTCCTGGCAACCCCCGCCCATGCCCCTCCCCCTCGCGACCCGCCCCCTCACCCCCCATGCCCACCCCTCACCCCCCATGTCCCACCCCCTCACCCCCCATGTCCCACCCCCCTCACCCCCCATGCCCCACCCCCCTCACCCCCCATGCCCCACCCCCCTCACCCCCCATGTCCCACCCCCCTCACCCCCCATGCCCCACCCCCCTCACCCCCCCCCCATAGCTCCCACCCCCCTCACCCCCCATGTCCCACCCCCCTCACCCCCCATGCCCCACCCCCCTCACCCCCCATGCCCCACACCCCTCACCCCATGCCCCACCCCCTCACCCCCCATGTCCCACCCCCCTCACCCCCATGCCCCACCCCCCTCACCCCCATGCCCACCTCCCTCACCCCCCATGTCCCACCCCCTCACCCCATGCACCCACCCATGCCCCACCCCCTCACGCCCCCATTCCCCACCCCCCTCACCCCCCATTGTCCCCCCCCCTCACCCCCCATGCCCCACCCCCTCACCCCCCATGCCCCACCCCCCTCACCCCCCATGCCCCACCCCCCTCACCCCCCATGTCCCACCACCCCTCACCCCCCCATGCCCCACCCCCCTCAACCCCCCATGCCCCACCCCCCTCACCCCCATGCCCCACCCCCTCACCCCCCATGTCCCACCCCCCTCACCCCCCATGTCCCACCCCCCTCACCCCCCATGCCCCACCCCCCTCACCCTCCATGCCCCACCCCCTCACCCCCCATGTCCCACCCCCCTCACCCCCCATGGCCCCACCCCCCTCACCCCCATGCCCCACCCCCCTCACCCCCCATGCCCACCCCCTCACCCCCCATGTTCCCCACCCCCTCACCCCCCATGTGCCCACCACCCCTCACCCCCCATGGCCCACCCCCCTCACCCCCCATGCCCACCCCCCTCAGCCCCCATGTCCCACCCCCTCCACCCCCATGCCCACCCCCCTCAACCCCCATGCCCACCCCCCTCAGCCCCCCCATGCCCCACCCCCCTCACCCCCCATGTCCCCCCCCCCTCACCCCCCGATGCCCCACCCCTCACCCCCCCATCACCCCCCCTGTCCACCCCCCTCACCCCCCCATGCCCACCCCCCTCACCCCCCATGTCCCCATTCCCCCCCCCTCACCCCCCATGTCCCACCCCCCTCACCCCCCATGCCCCACCCCCCACCCCCCATGCCCCACCCCCCTCACCCCCCATGTCCCACCCCACCTCACCCCCATGCCCCACCCCCCTCACCCCCATGCCCCACCCCCCTCACCCCCCCATGTCCCACCCCCCTCACCCCCCATGCCCCACCCCCCTCACCCCCCATGCCCCACCCCCCTCACCACCCCCATGTCCCACCCCCCTCACCCCCCATGTCCCACCCCCCTCACCCCCCATGCCCACCCCCCTCACCCCCATGCCCCACCCCCCTCACCCCCATGCCCCACCCCCCTCACCCCCCATGTCCCCACCCCCCTCACCCCATGCCCCACCCCCCTCACCCCCATGCCCCACCCCCCTCACCCCCCATGTCCCACCCCCCTCACCCCCCATGCCCCACCCCCCTCACCCCATGCCCCACCCCCCTCACCCCCCATGCCCCACCCCCCTCACCCCCATGGCCCCACCCCCCTCACCCCCCATGCCCCACCCCCCTCCCCCATGCCCAACCCCCTCACACCCATGCCCCACCCCCCTCCACACCCCCATGCCCCACCCCCCTTCCCCCCGCTGCTACTTCCGCTTAGGCCTTAGGCCTTGGCCGAGTGGAGGCTGCGCGCGCTGTGCATTGTGGGTGGCGAGCGGCTGGTTTGGATTCCCGCTCACGGCACCGTCAGTGTCGAGCGAAAGCTTCTGAAGCGGCGGCTCGCTGGGCCTCTCTACGTCGACTCAGCCTGAAGGTGAGACCTCGCGCGGGTGTGTCCACATCAGCAGTGGCGGCGGCGGTGGAGGAGACAGAGGAGGCGCCTGGCCCACAGCTCGGCCTGCTGCCTGCTGACTGTTGTGGGTTACATTATAGTTGTGGTTACTATACGTTGTGGTTACATTATAGTGTTGTGGTTACATTATAGTTCGTGGGTACATTATAGTTTGTGGTTACATTATAGTGGTGGTTACCTTATAGTTGTGGTTACAGTATAGTTGTGGTTACAGTATAGGTTGGGGTTGACATTATAGTTGTGGTTACCTTATCGTTGTGGTTACATTATAGTTGTGGTTACAGTATAGTTGTGGTTACATTATAGTTGTGGTTACATTATAGTTGTGGTTACATTATAGTTGTGGTTACATTATAGTTGTGGTTACATTATAGTTGTGGTTACATTATAGTTGTGTTTACATTATAGTTGTGGTTACATTATAGTTGTGGTTACATTATAGTTGTGCTTACATTATAGTTGTGGTTACATTATAGTTGTGGTTACAGTATAGTTGTGGTTACATATAGTTGTGTTTACATTATAGTTGTGGTACATTATAGTTGTGGTTACATTATAGTTGTGCTTACATTATAGTTGTGGTTACATTATAGTTGTGGTTACATTTAGTTGTTCTTCTTATAGTGTGGTTACATTATAGTTGTGGTTACATTATAGTTGTGGTTAACATTATAGTTGTGGTTACATATAGTATTGTGGTTACATTATAGTTGTGCTTACATTATAGTTGTTGGTTTACATTATAGTTGTGGTTACAGTATAGTTGTGGTTACATTATAGTTGTGCTTACATTATAGTTGTGGTTACATTATAGTTGTGGTTACATTATAGTTGTGGTTACATTATAGTTGTGGTTACATTATAGTTGTGGTTACATTATAGTTGTGGTTACATTATAGTTGTGCTTACATTATAGTTGTGGTTACATTATAGTTGTGGTTACATTATAGTTGTGGTTACATTATAGTTGTGGTTACATTACAGTTGTGGTTACAGTATAGTTGTGGTTACATTATAGTTGTGGTTACAGTATAGTTGTGGTTACATTATAGTTGTGGTTACATTATAGTTGTGGTTACATTATAGTTGTGGTTACATTATAGTTGTGGTTACAGTATAGTTGTGGTTACATTATAGTTGTGGTTACAGTATAGTTGTGGTTACATTATAGTTGTGGTTACATTATAGTTGTGGTTACATTATAGTTGTGGTTACATTACAGTTGTGGTTACAGTATAGTTGTGGTTACATTATAGTTGTGGTTACAGTATAGTTGTGGTTACATTATAGTTGTGGTTACATTACAGTTGTGGTTACATTATAGTTGTGGTTACATTATAGTTGTGGTTACAGTATAGTTGTGGTTACATTATAGTTGTGGTTACATTATAGTTGTGGTTGCATTACAGTTGTGGTTACATTACAGTTGTGGTTACATTATAGTTGTGGTTACATTATAGTTGTGGTTACATTATAGTTGTGGTTACATTATAGTTGTGGTTGCATTACAGTTGTGGTTACATTACAGTTGTGGTTACATTATAGTTGTGGTTACATTATAGTTGTGGTTACATTATAGTTGTGCTTACATTATAGTTGTGGTTACAGTATAGTTGTGGTTACATTATAGTTGTGGTTACATTACAGTTGTGGTTACATTATAGTTGTGGTTACATTATAGTTGTGGTTACAGTATAGTTGTGGTTACATTATAGTTGTGGTTACATTATAGTTGTGGTTGCATTACAGTTGTGGTTACATTACAGTTGTGGTTACATTATAGTTGTGGTTACATTATAGTTGTGCTTACATTATAGTTGTGGTTACATTATAGTTGTGGTTACAGTATAGTTGTGGTTACATTATAGTTGTGGTTACATTACAGTTGTGGTTACATTATAGTTGTGGTTACATTATAGTTGTGGTTACAGTATAGTTGTGGTTACATTATAGTTGTGGTTACATTATAGTTGTGGTTGCATTACAGTTGTGGTTACATTACAGTTGTGGTTACATTATAGTTGTGGTTACATTATAGTTGTGGTTACATTACAGTTGTGGTTACAGTTGTTGGTCGTGGTTATTGTTGTGATTATAGTTGTGTGGTTGTTACTGTGGTGGCTGTGCAGGTGGTGGCACACGAGTTAACCCATAGCACCAGGGTCTAGCCCTCCTCTTGTACCGAGCCAGGCAGAGCAGTCGGCCCATGGCACCTGAGTCTGGCCCGTGACCTCCTCCTGCACTTAGCCTGGCACAGCCGTCAAACCATGGCACCTGGGTTATTGTGGTGACGTCATCGCCACGTAGTGGTGAATGGCGACTGTTGATGTGTGTGGGCTTGTGTGTGAGTATGATGGTGAATGCGAGAGTATAATGGTGAGTATCATGGTGAGTGTATCATGGTTAGTGAGTAATATTGAGTGTGATTTTGACTAATTCTCCCCCTCTCGCTGTCTCTGCTTTCCCCCCTAACTTCCTCGCCTGGTATACAGGAGTTTGGGTTCGATCCCGACCTTGATGCCTGCTGTATATTTGGAGTTTGCGTGTCTCTGTCTCTCCCCGTGGTCGCGTGGATTTTTCTCCGGGTCCTAAGGGTCCTCCGAGTCTTCCCTCCACATTTAGAAACATTCGTTTAAAGTTTTGACTTGACTGCAGGAATTCATATTCTTGGTTCTTTCGGTAAAGTCACGTAAATAGAAAAAAAAATATTTGTTTTAAATTTTTTTTAAATAAAAATACAAAATAAGATATATTGAAAATAATAAAAGCTATTTATTATATATTTTTTATTAATATATATTTTTATGTTTTGGTTTTCTATTTACTTGACTTTACCGAAAGAACCAAGAATATGAATATTCGTTTAAAGTATTTGGCTGCTGTAATTTACACGTGATGATGAACCACTTCGTTGAGCTATCATTGGTGCCAAGTCGCTTCTGAATAAGTAATATTTAAAAGTACTTTTTTTTTAAAACTCGCTTTAATGAAATGTACCGTACGAGTAATGGCAGAACTCCACGACTCCAGGAAGTTGCCCCGAGGCTTGCCATAACGTAAGGGACCGTGGTGATTTACAGCCAACGTCAGTTGAGCGTGGACAATTAGACCCAAGCCGAATCATAACATATAAAAATGAATGTTTAAAAATACTTTTTTTGATATAATCTAGATTTGTCATCAGTATGACATAAGTATACCAAGTTTGCAGTCGATACCACATTGGGAAGTGGGTTAAAATTGAGTTACAAGATTTGAGGATACGACAACAACAGTCCGTTAAATAAAAGCGCGTAATAAAAGAGATGTTTAGCTCAGTGGACCTTACTTGGTAAAATGAAAATCGTTGAGATTTTCGTCTAGTTTTGTCTCTCCTTCCCGAGCACAACAACAAGCAGGAGTAGTGGGAGGAGCTTTTTCCACTAAGTGGTGGTGACGACAGCACGGCGCTTGTGCCAGGATATGTGCACCACATATATCCATCACATAGAGACCCATAGAGTCATCACACATAGACCTATACACTCACCATGCACAGACCCTCAGACTTGCACAGAGAACCATGGACTCACCACAGAGGCCCATAGACTCATCAGACATAGATCCACAGACTCAAACAGAGCCCTATAGACTCACCAAACAGAGACATAGACTCACCAGACAGATACCCATAGACTCAATCGTACCCACACTCACATAGAGACCCACAGACTCGCCACACAGAGACCCATATAATCACCACACAGAGACCCATAGACTTACACAAAGGCGCATAGACTCATCACACAGAACCACAGACTCAAACACACCCACGGACTCGCAGAGTAAGACTCGCAGAGGTCTATGGACTCACCACACAAACACATAGACTCACCACAGAGACCCATAGACTCACCACATAGATTCTAGATTTGAAGCTTTCGTGACTGCAAGGATTCATATTATTAGGTTTTTTCGGTAAAGTCACGTAGGTAAAAAATTAAAATTAATAAAAGTAAAATAAAATAACAATCACGACGTTTCAGAGGCAACACAAGCTTCCGTCTTCAGGTGGAACCGTCACAGCACGGTAGCTGTATCAAGTGAGAGAAATTCCAAGAACACAGTATTTGTATATATACTGGTTAAGGGTGGAAGGAGCCAAGGTAGGCCCTGAATATTATTTTTGTGAGGTTCGGTGCGGCTGAAGCACGCTGTTAGGAATGGGCCTTTGTTGTGTAAACTAGGTGCGGATGATGTAAAGGTGCGTGTAAAAGGGACTGAGCCTTTTTGTTATGTAGAGATGATGTGGCTGAAATCGCTGCCAGGAAATGAGTCTTTGTTGTGTAGAATGATTGACTGAGCCTATTATTATGTGGAGGTGGTGCGGCTTAACTCGCTGCCAAGAAATTAGTCTTTGTTGTGTAGAATGGTTGACTGAGCCTATTATTATGTAGGGGTGGTGCAGCTGAAATCGCTGCCAGGAATGCTCCAAATATGGGAAGTTAAATATTTTTTTCATGATTAATAACATCTTTCCAATGATTACTAAGTTTGTACCCATCATCACGGTTGAAATTATGCCTGTGTTTGTATATTTGGTTGGCCTCGTACAAACCTTTGATGGTAGCCAGGAGGCTTGCAGAGCACCTTAGTCTCGGAAAAGACAATTTCATGAGAGCCCACAGCATTGTAGCAATGACTCTATGGTCTTCCCAAGATCCATAAAGAAGGCACCCCGCTATGACCCATCGTGTCGACCATCAAATCTCCTACGTACAAACTGGCCCGGTTTCTATCAGATACTCTGCTTCCCTTCACAGGCAAGACCTCTTCGGCAGTACTCAATTCAACCCAATTAGTCTCTATGGTCAAGGACATGGTACTATCTCCTGATGACATCCTCGTCAGTTTTGATGTAGTATCTCTGTTTACCAAGGTCCCAGTACCTGACACCCTAACAATAATTGAGGACTTGGTCC